GGGGGGGTGGGAAGGCTACAAATCAGATCAAGAAAGGATCCCTATGCAGCCTCTTTGAAACTCTTTCCTCTTCCCTGGGTTGTCTTTAATGGTCTTTTATGCTGCATCAATCATGGAAAAAAAAACCATGAATCGTGATTTTGAACTGCGAAAAGCTTAACAATAGGCACTTTGCTTGTGTTTCTGGTTCCCTAATTGCATAAAACCGCGTGCAACAGCGGCCATCTCCGGTTACCTTATCGGTGCAATGCAGATTGTGTCGTCCCTATCGATGTCGGTTCGAGCCACAGTCAATAGGTCCATTTGTTGTCACATTTGACTGGAACACTCTTAAGTGCCCTCTAAGCCTATATCCACATCATTCCAACCAAGTGGGGGGAGGTATGAAAGCTGGTCTAACCCTTTCACAGCATGCTCAAACACAAGGTGGGGTGGTCTCAAAGAGGACACTGCTATTTTTTTTGAGGGGTTTCATTACCCTAACAAAGGACCCATTTAGAGCTTGCTTGTTTTTTTTTTCTCTATGAGTTAAAAGGCAACGTTCAGTAACTTTCACTGTCGGTGGGTGGTCGGAGTTTTGCTTGAACTAATTCCAAGTGATCCAAAGCCAGAGCCTTCTTCATATCTTTTCAAAAGTCATCTTCTATTGCTATTACACTGGATGGGCTCCCATTGCCATGACCCTACTGTTTTGCTTCTTTTTGGTGTATTGGCTATTCCTCCTTTTATGTCTTGATAGCTCACTCCTTTCATTTTGATGTCTATATGTGTTTTCTTATGCTTTTATGATCATGTATATCATGATAATACAGTAGTTTTCATGGGATGATAGATACCACCAAAATGTAACATCTACAATGGTCACATCACCTAATGGGTTAACAATGAAACCCAGAAAAGATATTTAGAGAAACGTATAATTTTTTTTTTTTTTTTAGGAAAAATACAATGGTAATCTCACAAATATGTACTTAAGTTCTATATGCGTTTTTAGAGGTTCTGGTCATTAAAATGTCCCGTGATTGATAGAAGGGAATATCTGTCTTTCAATAATTAATGGTTGTCACGCGTCTATTTTCATAAAAATGGTAACAAAGATTACATGATTCTCTTATCCCTTATGACCCACCCCTACACAAAATCCCAAAGGGCTGCATATTATTGTTGATTTCTCTCATGGTTTCTTATAGGGAATTACCTTTGTTCATCTCGTGAAATGACTGAACCATTAGCATCGATTTGAAGCAAATATCAAGGAACTAGTCCATGAATACAGCTGCTTCAACATCTTGTGAACAGACACCAAATTTTGTTTTGCTTTTACCGAGACGTTTTGAAACGAAATAAGTGATTGAATTTTGAAATTCCTATGTTTTGAGGGATCCAATATGTTTCAGCGTGTTTGATTAATACTTTGGAAACAAAATTTTCATTTTTTTCACTGTTTTCATTTTGTTAAATGTTTTTGAAACATTTTTATTTTTAAGTTGACAGAAACTATACATGCATGCAAGCATGTATATAAGTGGAATTTTATGTATTCAAGTGCATCTGTAATTTTGGAAGTAAGGAAGAGCTCTAGAAATAAATTGCAGGCTCTTGGTCACATGGGCCATCATGTGATGATACGGAATATATAGAAAGGAACATCTGAGTCCTCATGGTAGGGTATGATGGATGATGAGAGAGAAACATGAGCATTGTTTCGTAACAGGACATGTTCTGCAGTAGTAACATGTGCCTAAGCTTGGAAAGGAGGAGGAGCATAAATATGAGGATAGCAAGCAACTGTCATTGTCTATGCCATATGTATGCATTCATGGTGCAAGAGTGTAGGGAAACCTGAGAATTCATTGCCATCGTTAGAACTCTCTCTCTCTCTCTCTCTCTCTCTCTCTGGTTGTGTGTGTGTTTTGTAATTTGGGTCTCATTCCTTTACCCTTTTTCTGTTATGGCTTTACTTTATCTAAATGCATTACTTTTTAACATTCCATTGCTATTTCTTGCAATTTTTCTTCTTTTTTTTTTTTTAGCAACCTTGTGTGTTGATAGTATCATTTTTTTTTTAAGGGAAGAAGAGGGGGATTTGAAATCTTGACTTTAAGAAGACAAATCTTTTACAAAATAAGGAATACTATTGGACCAAAAGTTCATTTGTATGTGTTGACAGTATCAAAGGTGGTTGTTTTCGCATTAATGTTACATCTATATAATAAAATAAGAGTGTATTTGAATTTTATTCCAGTCATATTTTTTGTCTTAAAATCATTATCAATCACTTACCTTACCCATTATCCCTTTGTCAGACTCAAATGTCAAATCATATCACTCATTTCTATCACATATTTAATCATTTATATATTTCCTCTCTAAAAATATCACACAACTCATTTCTATCATATATTTAATTAATTTGTAGTTAATATATTTTGAAAAAAATTTAATATAGTGGGATCAATTTTTTGGACACTCGAATTATATGTTTTATCGTGCCTTCAGGCACGGGTTATGATTAGTTTATCGATATTTGAGGAAACTATATATATAGCCTTAAAACTATGATTTTTATATCAATTAAGCCCCTAAGCTATTTTTTTGTGTCAATTAAATCTCTAAACTCTTTAATTATGTCAATTGAGTCATTTTGACTGCATCTAATAGAGTGTGTCACTCACGTGACTATATGACACAAAAATACAGAAGGGCTCAATTGATACAATTAAAGAGTTTAGGAGTTCAATTGATACACAAAATATTTATGGACTTAATTAACACTAGGGTCATAATTTGAGGATTATATATGTAGTTTA